CCAATTGATAGTTAAATAAATGTTTACTACCTGAACTGAAAAATACAAATAAGTTTTACCTGAAATGAACTATACAATTCCAGAGGGATCATATATGTAAGTTTTGACTCTTGGACTATTGCTTAAGATTTATACCAGAGTAAATCTAATGAACGCAATACAGTTGAAGCTTAAAATGGATATCTTCAAATATTTAATACTCAAGTAATGTTGGTATGGAACAATTCATACCTACATCATCTGATGGAGATGGCATTTAACATTTTAAAAATTAAATGCCTGTGAAATACTATTGGACGTTTTCTTATTTATCAAGAAGGCTGCCGCAAATGAATCTTATTCATTTTTGTTCCCAGGCAATGGTGAGATAACTTATAAAGCCGCAAGACTAATTTGTTTTAGTTCTTTACAACCTCCTAGAAAACATAAATTTAGTTTTTTAGATAGTTGAACTGTTAGTTATATTAACAAATATTTATACAATTTCTCATCTTCCTACTCAGTCACAAAGAAGATGTGAAATACATCAAGCGTTTCAGAAAAAATATACCAGAAATTTCATTGCCACTATCACAATAAAGGCTTTGCCTTTGAATTCCTAGAGGTGCTACTAACAAAGAAGCATTTTTTTCCCTGAATAAGTAGCTTGATTCAACATGATTTCTAAATCATCTGAGATAACGTGAGTTCTTTTCCTCCATCAAAATGGTTTAATGATTGCTAATGAATTACTACATGAATCAACAAAACCAATATGACAGACAGCAACTGAGCTGACTAGGAATCAGAAAACAACACTCTCTTCTCCCCTAGCAAACAGCTCTTCTGTGCCATCGCAGATTTAGCAAACAGTTGCCTAATTATTTACTGTCACAGTCAGAGACATGGTGAGCAGACAGAATTTTGAGACGTACAAATATTCTGGTTTCAACTGTTAAAGCAACAGGGTACTTGGGATAGCACAGTCTTCAAAATCCGCAGACTACTTTAGCTGCAGAAGCGGATGAAGAGTAAAATTTCACTTTTTTACATTGAAAAATGACTGCTTTTCTCTTCCCAAATCAAACCGCCCGAACATCTTAATGATGCAGCATCACACGACCCCAAGCCTTCCAAGACAGGCAATGAATTCTGTACAGCTGACTCTGCTAGTTACAGTACTCAACAGCTGGGGGATAGATAATTTGGCACCCTGATAATGCCCTAGATGAATACGAAAGCGTTCTGCAGACGATAAAAAGGGGAAAAAAAAAAAAAAAAAAAGAACCATTAGCATTGAAATTACGGATTGGAGCTTGTCTTAAAAATATAAAGTCAACGTGGCTTGCATTTGATTAAGAAAATTACTAAAGGCAGTGTTTACAAAACTGAGAATTCAGAGAAATGGCACTCCCTCTTCAAAGCCTATATCGTAGCAATTCTTTTCTGATTAGATCAGCTCCCATAGCAAGTCATCAGAACAACAATCTCTGTAGTGAAGTCATACTACTGGGACTTGGATGGGAAATCATGACCGGTTTGGAAACACATTTTAAAAAATAATGTGTTTTCCAGGTTTCCAGTGCACCTTAATTAAAACAAGTCCAAATCTTTACCTTTGCTCCCAATGGCTAAATAAAGTATACCTCAAGCAGCAAAACACAGCATACCAACATACTGAATACGACACTAAAAATTAAGACAACAGAAACTGGACCCTTCTAAATAATTTCAGGAATTGACTGTCACTGAAACCAGTACACGAATGGACTCCATGTTGCCCCCACAGTGTGACACACTCAAGTATTTCCAGAATGTGCTTTATTTCTAATGGAGCTGTGAATTACTTTTAGGAGTTTATTTGAATTAAAATCCCTTTGTCCCCCAACACTTAAAAAACAAATCTGTCAGTCCTTTTTCTGATAAAATCCTCCCTGAAATAGAGGAAATTAGGCCTAATATCTTTCCCAGGTTTTTAAGCAAGTAGACAAACTGGTATGAGAATGAACCTTATTAAACCTGACTCTAGCAGCAAATCAAAGGTAATCTAAAGCAGAATAGCAGTTCTTCAAATTAGAACCAGAACATAAAACCAAGTTTTCTTTTTTCTTTATTTACAAAGCAAACAGCCCACTTGCTTTAAAATTTTGCAAAAATCAGTTCAGCTACATATAAAGTAATTGATGACTTTTAAAAATGGGAGAGAATGGAATAAAGATGTGCTTTTGAAGATGATCTATTAAAAATGGTAATTATTTCTCAAATAAAACACACTAACGCATTTTAGTACAGAAATAGTGCACATGCTCCATAGCTGCGTTGACACAATGGACAACAGACACAAAGGAGTCATTAGTCAATACTGTTAATGACAAATGAAATCCTAAGTGATACAGGTATAAAGTAGACAGACCTCTGACAAGTTCTCATGTCAAAATAACCATCTGTAGAGGGTTCCTTCTTCAAAATATTACCAGTAACAACCTAGATTAAATAAAACCAACTATCTGTATCTTCAAATCAAGCTATCTTAAACTATGCCACTCCCATTCCCATCAGTGGAAACCTTTTAACCAAAATCTTTAGAACTGACTAAAAACATGCAGCTGAAAATTTTCAGATATAAAATATAAGCCATCTCATCCCCAAACATTACAAAAGGGCTTGGCACTGCATATGTCAGCATATGCTGTGACATGCTGTAAAAACTATTTCTGGGATGAAGATCCATTCTGAACAGTTAACTCTATCCCTTTTTCGCTGGAATTAAAATCAGACCCGTAACACTTTTGATAAGCATTTTCAGATTTAGTATTTGCAAACGTGCTGAAAAACAGAGTAATGAATCATGTCCCCCGGATCATCTCTCCCATCCCAATTACTTTAAGAAAGCAACGTAATTTACATTTCTAGGGAGATAAAATTAGCTACATGCATCTCTGTTATGCAAAAACGCCTTTTTTCCTGTATTTTTCTGTATTCGATGAAAAAAAAACCACAGGTGCTACATGAACTAAGATCATTCCTTGGCCGACCACCAAAAAAAAAAAAAAAAAAAAAAAAAGGTCAAAATAAACCGATGCTTTAAATACAAACGCCTATCGCGACGTAAATCACCGTGTCCGCCTTTCACTCGAAAAAAAAAAAAAAAAAAAAAAAACAAGACTTTCAAACGCGTTTCGAAGTGCGTTTCGCCCACTGGCGATGAAGAGGCGGTGTTTTTATTTATTGCAGAAGCCGCCGACCTCCGTGCCCCCCCCCCCCCCCCCAGGCCCGGGAGCACCTGGCCGGAGCCCCCCGTGTCCGTGTCCGTGTCCGCCGCCACGCCCGGCGGGGCGAGCGGCAGCCCGGGCGAGTGCGGCGGCCCCGTTGCGGGGCGGAGGCGGGGGGGGGTGGGGGGGTTGCCCTACCTTTGTATCTCTCCAAAACATCCTCGTAGGCTTGCAGGTACTCCTGCTCCTCCGCGTAGAAGTACGCGCCGGGGGAGAGGTAGCCCGCCATGGCCGGGGGGCAGCCCTGCCCGCTGCCCTGAGCGGCTCCGGGCTGCCTCAGGGACCGCACCAGGCAAAAAAAAAAAAAAAAAAAAAAAAAAAGCCAACGGCTGCCGGGGGGGGGGGGGGGGGGGGGGGGGGGGGGGGGGGGGGGGGCGGGGGGAGGGCGCTGCCAGCCCGGCCGGGGAAACGCCCCCACCGGCCGCTCGGGTGGCGGCAGCCGCCCCTCGGAGCGCGGAGCGGGGCGGCCCCAGCCCGGCGGCCGCCGCCTCCCCCCGGCTCCGGCTCCGGGGCACCGCCCGCGCGGGCAGAGAGCTCTGCCCCCCGCTCCCCCCAGGGCTCCCACCCCCCCCCACACACACACACACCCCCCACCCCCGGGCCGAGGAGGGCGGCGGCCGCCGGGGTGGGGGCACGGTCGCCCTGCGGCGCCGGCGATCGAGGAGGGGCCGCAGCCACGGCAGGGACCCCACGGGCAGCCCCCGCCGCAGGTGTCACGGCCGCCTCCCCCCCGAGCGCTCCCCCCGGCCCTGACCCCGGGCCCCCACCCCGCGCACCCTGCCTCCGGGGAGGAGGGAGCGGCGAGCCCCGGGCCGGGCCGGCTCCGCAACCCCCCCCGGCGGCTGCATTCGGCGGTCGGCGAGACACCGGCCCCGCTGAGACCCTCTGCCACCGCGACCTCCGCTGCCCCGAGATGCGTTACCCCGGGAGGGGGGACCCACGGGTGGCACACGCAGAAGGCGGGGGGGGGGGGGCGGGGAGAACAACAGCGGTGTCCCCGGGGAGCACCGAGGACCGCCGCATCTTCCTGGCATTCACTAACAGCCGGCTTCCAGCATTCGCCGCGGAGCAGCAGACCTCCGCCCTGTTTTCGACATCATTTGGGGCCGGGCCGCGAACCAGAGCACCGGGCGGTTCCGTCCCGGCCCCCGTGGCCCCCTCCCCCGTCCCCGAGCTCCGTCCCGGTCCCCGTGCCCTCCCCCGAGGGCAGCCCCGGCCCCGCACGGACAAAGACGAGCGGCTCTCCCCGCTCACCGGTACCGGCCTCCCCCCGCGCTGCGGCCGGTCCAGCCCCCCCCCCCCCCGCCGCCCCCTCCCCCGACCGCAACGCCGGCACCAGCCGAAACCGCTAACGCCGCTGCAGCGGCCCCCGCGCCGCGGCTGCGTTTTCGCAGGAAAGTTGAATGGGCGCACCTGCAGCGGATTTCGGCTCGCTTTCCCACACGCGTCAATTCCACCCCGCCCCCGTCCACGGCCGGTGAACGCGGCCCAAGAGCTTAGTCACCACCCGGCGGGGCCGCGACCAGAAAGGCGAGGGGACTGGGGATCCCTCTGCCCCAAACCTTCCCCCCCCCCGCTCCCCGCCAGCCCCCGGCCGCGCCTTACCGGCGATGCGCAGCACGGCTCGCTCGGCCGGGTCCAGCACGGAGCCTCCGTGGATCTTCCGCTTGGACCGCTCGTGTTTGGGCAGGTTCCAGGGCAGCGTGTCCCCCGGCGCCGGCGACACCGTCCCCGACCTCTGGCTGAAGTCTTCCTCGTCGGAGAAATCCGCGGAGGACGACATGGAGCATCGGTAGGACGCGTTGCCGGAGCTCTGCACGGGGAGACACAGAGGGAGGGAAGGGGTGGGGGGGTGGGGTGGGGGGAGTGCGTGGGGAGCGGATCGGGACGCGGGGCCTCCGGTGGCACCCGCAAGTACCCGCCCCGCGTGGCGTGGAAAAGCATCTCACGCGAAAAGAAGGGGAGGGAGATGCCGCTCACCATTGCCGTGAATTTCGAGGGGCGGGGGGGGGGGGGGGGGGAGGCGGGGACTGAAGAGGGGTCCGAGAGGGAGCAGCGGGGGTGATCCTCCAAAATACAGCCGGCCTTCAGCGGGAATGCATTTGGAGGGGTGTGGGGGAGAGCCGTGGCCTGCGGCTGGGCAACCAGCTCGCAAATGAGCCTCCCCCTTCCCCAACAATAAACCCAGCGGCAGCAACAACAACCGAAAAAAAAAAAAACCTTCCGGGCTACAAATCGATAGCGTTTGGCTCCCCCGCCAGGACAAGGGAAAGATTTGCCGTCTCCGAGCTGCTGCTGAAATGGTTCGTGTAAATCCGTCTGTGGGAAGGACCCACGCCCGGGGACAGCCCACGCCGGGCTTTGTTACCGCCCCGGCGGGCCCTCTCCCGGGGGCAGCGGGGGGGGCAGGAGGGCAGGGAGGCAGGAGGGAAGGAAGGAGAAAATAAGATTTCTCAGAGCATCCCCTTTGGGTAGCGGGGCACGACAGGTCACGCTTTGCCAAGACGCCTTCAGCGATCAAACGGCTGATCTCGGCTTATGGACCGTATCCACGTTCAGACTTCCCAGCTACCCCAAAAAAAAAAAAAAAAAACAAAAACAAAAAAAACCAGAGCGCTTCCAGAAACGCACATAAGCACTGATGCAGTGCAGGGATAGGGCTGCTGCTATTTCTAGCATCCCTGCTTAGGGTGAAGTGGGAAAATAGGGATGAATAGGGAATAGGAACGTTATACACAGGTTGTCAGGACATGATTCAGGGCAAGGTGCTATTTCTCTTCCTCTGCATTTAGCGATTGGAGAGACTTGTGGTTTCTCCAGGGCACCTGTCTAGAAAACGATGGGTTTGATCTGTGATTTCATGTGGGAGCTACTGTGACAGTCTTTCAAAAGTGTAACCTGATGCTGGTCCAGGTATGATGTTCATTTTTAGGGATATGCTATTCTCAACTTGGAGAGGCGCAGTACGCTTTGTTGGGCAGAGGTAGCCCCCATTCAGCTCATCTAGATTCCGAATTTTTGGATACTAAAACAGCTATTATTTTAGGCTTGTCTTGTAGCCCTTGGTTTGTTTGGGTTTTGGTGTTTTGGTTTGGTTGGGGTTTTTTGTTTGTGGTGTTGTTTTTTTGTGTGTGTGTGGGGGGGTTGGTTGGGGTTTTTTAGGAGCCTAAAATGTACCTTTACTTACAGAAGAAATTTGTATTGTGACTGAGATCTGATAAAATTTACTGTTGTCTGAACCTTTTTACTGTCAGTTCTCATGGAGTGGACGAGTTGTTATTATTATTACATTGGCAGGTATTTTACCCATTTAAAACTCAAAACCCACATAGTCCTGAGTAACAACATGATGCACTCTTTGCTATGCATAAAACTGCCAATAATATACAGTTAAATAATCTGCTAAATAAGAGAGGATCTCTTATTAGTGGTTGCTCCTCCTGACCTCCTTCACTTCTATCCCAATCCTCTTTGCTCCTTCTACAGTACTTCATGGTGCAGTTCAAAAGGGAGGAGATGGAGGGCATGAATACATAAAACCAATTAACTGAATTTTTGTTTATCTGTACTGTGATGTGGAGAGAGCAAGAGGTAAATGTGGAAAAACAGAAACATGAGATGTCTGATCCCAGCTCTGATTGCCTTTGTAATTAGTTCTAGTGCCGGGAACTTTTTGTTTTGCTGCCAGTTTATATAATAAGCTAGAACTCCCTGTAGGATCTCATAAAGCAGGATGGTCACATACAGGTGCCTTCCTGATGGGAGCTGGAAGTGCACCACTTGCTGCAGGGTATAGAGGGCACTTTGCTGCACCAGGCGAGGCTGACAGGGCCCCTGATGTGCTTGATCAGGGATTAGGTTTCTTGTGGCCCGTCCTTAGCTCCAAATTTTGCCATAAAAAAGAAAGTGTTCCCTTTAATCCCAGCTCTGAACATCCTGCTTCAGGCCACTGTCTTCCAATGGCTGCTCAGTATCTTTGACTCCTGGAGACAGATTTTGCCTTTCGATTTCTTCACTTTCTTCATTTCTAGTTTATAATACAAAAATTAGAAAGAGCCCAGACACGGTGTTGTGAGGGTGCTAGAGCGATAGTTTGTTAGTATTTATGTAGCAGCTTGGAATATGCAAGGACAAAATACAATAGCAGTTGTTATTGAAGCTTTGAAGAAAGATCTCTCAACTCTCAGATTTATCTTTGAAAGTATGCTATAATTTTCATCCAGTAGGATTTCCTTTTCTCAAAAGAGGCTTTAATAGCCCTTTGTTATGTTTTATAACAACTCCTTCTGTAGTTCCTCCTACCCTTACAATCCAAAAGTGCCACTGTGTGACCATTCCATATATACCACTGAACATATTCTCCACACTCTTACTGAGGTGTCACTTTTAGGGAAAAGAAGACTGTCCTTCTGGTCAGCTGTGCTACAATACTGGAAGATAAGCTATAAGAGAAGACCCCACTCCCATATTTTTGGGAAATCAGACTGAACAGGCAACAGTAGAGCAATCTTTGGCATCTATGTGTATTACAACTAGCTATCCTCTTTTACGTTGACCTTCTACCTTACTTAACGCATGCATTAACAAAATGAATGAACAAACCCCACTTCAGCTTACTCACTCTTCAGGAATCATGCTATCTCATTTTCAGAACAAGGCAGGAAGCTCAGAAAGGAATTTTTCATAATAGCGAAATCTAGCAAACTCGCATCTAACAAAAGCCAATTTTTAACTTAGTCTACTTTTTTTATTCAGCATGGAGGTACTACTGAGTAACGTGTACACAGAGCTATTGAGCACATAAGTATTTTTAATAATCTCAACTTTGCTATTCCAAAGACACTTATAATGAACTGAACAACTGCTTTGCTTGGGTAAATTAATAGCTTTTATAAGAAGTCTGTAATTGTTCTCCTTTTGCACAGCCACTGTTCATAACATGCTTATCACTCATCCCACTGGATTAAGTGTTTCTATCAAACACGTTCTCCATGCCATAGCTGCAAGTCCCAAAATAAGCATTCCATGATTACCGCACAATATTAACTGGTTTTAAAAATACAAGATAATGCAGAACATCTGTACTATCCTGAAAAGCGTGCATGGCAAATTAGCACAGCATGTGAAAAAAAAAAAAAACCAAAACCCTGGTTATAGTCTGTTAAAATATGTTAAGGTACTTATGTTATTTTTCTATAAGGCACGCTGCTGTATGCAAGTGAAAACTGTAACTGTTAATAATACACAACACTTTTTTGGGTGCTGTGAGTGAAGTGTCTTTCATATCCAGTAAAATATTGATCAGGCACATCCTTACTTAGCCTTCTCTGGGATTTAGTAAGGGTCAGGTCTTGACCCTTCTTAGCTTGAAGGCCCATAAGGTCACAGCCCAGATGCTATAGCTGCTTATTCTATGCCTCTGATTATGCATTCCTTCTGCTCATTAGCCTAAAGACTTCTCTGTAACCTCTGTTTTTGATCAGCAGGAACTGTTGAATTTGCATAGCAGTTATGCATGTAACAGTGTGTGCATTGAAGCCTGTTGGTCGTACATAAGCAAATCCAAACAGAGTTTTGTCTCCTTCAAGTACAGGATTAAGTTTACTATTAAACTGTACTATTCAAGTACAGGATTAAATTTAATTCATCGTTTCACTGTCAGTACCACAGGGGGGTGCAAACTGTACACAGAGTCCTCACCGCTGTGCCTTGGGAGGCAGAGTGCTCAGGACAAGCATTTAGGAGAGCACATCTCATTTCTGCCAATGTCTAGGGTTTTCTCTGTAATCAGGTGATTTGCAGCAGTCGCCTGAGAGCCAGGCTTGCTACTGTGTTGTAGAAATGAGCTGGCTTCCAGTAATGGGGATGATTTCAAAGAATTATTTAGCATACTTCTTGTAAGAAGGATTTGGCCAAGAACCAAGGCATGATTTCCTTTGAAGAGGGAAAGAAGGACTGTTTGTCATAGGTGAGGCACTCCAGAAGATCAGGTGGAAACTAGGTGGAAGACAGCACACCTGGAAAATGGTATAAGGTAGCGCCCAACACTGTATATCAGATAAGCCACCCTTAAATAGGACCTGATACCCTAACGAACACCAGTGCGTTTTGCACTGTCATTCCTCAAGGCGAAAGCATTAGTAGAGGTCAGGTTTTAAACTCAGTCAAGCAATCCAGCTGGCAAAAGCTGCCGAGAGACTGATCCTGAATTATTGTCATATTGCAAAAATTCCCCAAATTTATGACACATCGGAGTTTGTGCTGGCCAACTGAATTCTAATCAAATATGTTGTACTTTCACATTTTATCTTTGAGATGATTTTCTGCTGCAGTGAGTCCTTTCACGTTGGGTTTTGGAAGCTGTTGGGAAGTACGGGTCAACATTGACTGAAATCTAATTTTTAGTTGAGTTAAGAGTCATTTCTATTTCACTTATACTAAACTATCTCAGAATTCCTGGAATACATTTTCTCTTCTTTCATTATGTTCATTGTGGGCAATGGATAAATATGAACAGAAATGAAGTGTTTGAATCATGGTTTCACTGAATTTGTTTCAACAAAATTCCTCCTAATTTAGGATAATTTAGAATATCAGTTGAATGTAATAGGCTATTTTTGTCCTGTAGCATCCCAGATTGAATGATATTAAAGTAGATCAACTTTTAAAGTAAAATAACTTAATAAATTTAAGACAAAATCTAGGGCAACTGAATGTTCCCATTAGTAAATCTTTACCACTTTAACCCAATGAGATGATAATGCAATGTATGCAATCAGGCTATGCAAGTCC